GAGGAGGAAAATATGTTGGGAGGGGAAAATCCCCCTCTAAAGGAAAGGGATGGGGAAAAAAACAGGTTCTTCTGGAATAAATTTTGCATTTCGGGGAAGCAAAGACTTAATGGGGTGACTTAATCAAAGGGCCTGCATTATGTTAAGAACCAAGCTGACTTAGCCTGGATCTGGCTTTGATGTATCCCTCACGTAGACACACACACAATGCAGATTTTCATACATCAGCCTGGGAGGGCGGCTTTTGCTAACTTGGAGCGCCTCAAGTTCCAAAACGGATTATCGCATTTAGCTGAGCATCACTGAAGTCTTAATAACGCTTCCTGGTTGAGCCTCTTGACTCATTTTGAGTCCTGAGAAATAATGCTAAGAAGGCAGAATCACGATCAGAGCGATGTTTTGTAACAGGCACAAAAAGTGGGGTGTTTTTGTCACGGATGCTTATTTACATCTATAGAGGAGAATATCTCTAGTTTGGGGTTGAACTGTGGGGTCTCTGGGGCTCTCTGAGTGAGCTTGGTTGTTTCCTTCTAGATATTTCATTACGCAGCCAGGTAACGTCATCAGTCCTAGAAGGGGGGAGGAGGAGGAGGAGGAGGAGGAGGAGGAGGAGGAGGAGGAGGAGGAGGACTGAAGGATCCTTGATACTCTGAGTTTGGCTCTTATCTTGCAGACATTTAATTACCCAAATAGGTAACATCTTCAGTGCTAGGAGGAGGAGGAGGAGGAGGACTGAAGGATCCTTGATACTCTTGAGTTTGGCTCTTTTCTTGCAGACATTTAATTACCCAAATAGGTAACATCTTCAGTCCTAGAAGGGAGGAGGAGGAGGAGGAGGACTGAAGGATCCTTGATACTCTGAGTTTGGCTCTTTTCTTGCAGACATTTAATTACCCAAATAGGTAACATCTTCAGTGCTAGAAAGGAGTGGGGTTTTTCCTCCCTGTTTAGATACCTAATTTGCCCTTGTAAACAACAGAAAGAAAATAACACTCCCTCTAACACAGAGCAAGCCACTTGAATATAAACACAGGAAACCCCCTGGTCTGCAAAAAAAACCCCCGACCAAGCTCAGAGAATACCAAACATCCCACAGTCTTCCTTCTCCTCCTCTTCTTCCTCCTCTCCAAACACCTCACTTCCTTCTAGCACTGATGACGTTACCTAGTTGGGTCATGAAACGTCGGCAAGAAAACCACCAAGCCCAGTGAGCACCGAGGACCCATTTCAACCCTGAGCTGCAAATATTCTCCTTTTTTTGTTACCGTATTTTGCACCAGCTAAGCCCCTGAACAGTCTTCAAGGGCAGCCCCATGCGGACTGTTAATTTTCAAGCTAATTTCTCTGCCAGAATTTATTTTCTCTGTTCTGCGAAGCAAGTGGCCAAACAGGATTTCGAGTTGGAAACGTGCCTCTGCCCTTTAAAAGGAAGTGGGGCAAACACTCTTAGCCAAAGAGGGGACGGCCCTGTCAGAAATGGCAAAATGGATTGCTTTTAATTAGTCTTAGGAAATTAACGCAGGAGTTCCCTTGTAAAAAGTCTACATCTGCCACCTAGTGCACTACACTGAACGAGGTGCAAATTTCAATTCTAGAATTAATTATCTCCAGGCTGGATATTCTGAAGAACTGAGATCCCACTCCAGAAACTTAAAAAGAAGGCACAAAATGGCACCTATTAAACAGACGATTCTTTAATTATTTTACTTCTATCTATGTCTGCTTCTAGTTGTTTTAACCTTACCCATCGTATACAAGTCCTCGACTTATCAACAGTTTGCTTAGTGACTGTTCAAAGTTACAACAGCACTGAAAAAAGTGACTTATGACCATTTTTCACACTTACGACCGTTGTGGCATCCCTGTGGTCACATGATCAAAATTCAGATGCTGACTCATATTTATGATGGTTGCAGTGTCCCAGATCATGTGATCCCCTTTTGCAACCTTATTACAAGCAAAGTCAATGGAGGAGCCAGATTCACTTAAGAACTATATTACTAATTTTACTGTGGTGATTCACTTAACAACTGTGGCAAAAAAGGTCATAAAATGGGGCAAAATTCAATTCACAAATGACTCACTTAACAACATAAATTTTGGGCTCAATTGCCATCGTCAGCTGAGGACAACATGCATCTGTTTTGTGACATTGGGCGTGCTTCAATATTCTGCCACTAAAATTTTGATACATGCATTTTGCAAAACTTCTAAGTCTTAAATGGAAACAATTACAGCTTTCCTAGATTTTCAGGAGCCCTTATGGAATTTACATCCTCTTCAAAGTACATCTGAAGGATCCAGATTTTGTGCATTCTTCCCACTGGAAGTTGCTACCTGAAAAATAACCTGGTTGCCTCTTTTTTGAGATCCTGAGAGAAAATTCAGTCAAGGATGGAGAAGACAAGAGGTCAATTTCTAAAAAGCTGCAAGTGCAAGTGGTCCTCGTCTTACGACCATGTTTAGGACAGCCAGGAAGGTTCTGTTACATTCCTAACTTTTAATCGTAAAATTATTCATTTTTGAAAGTTTTATTTATTGATTAAATTGTACACCACTCATAACTCCTCCGCGAAGGAGGTTAAAAAGTTGGATGAATGGATGGATAGGTGGATGGACGGATAGATAGATGATGAATAGAGGATAGTTAGATAGCTGGCTGGCTGGATAGCAAGCTAGATGATAAATAGATGATAGATAGATAGATAGATAGATAGATAGATAGATAGATAGATAGATAGATAGATGGATGGATGGATGGATGGATGGATGGATGGATGGATGGATGGATGGATGGAAGGATGGATGGATGGATGGATAGCAAGCTAGAGATAGATAGATAGATAGATAGATAGATAGATAGATAGATAGATAGATAGATAGATAGATGACAGATGGATGGATAGCAAGCTGGAAGATAGACAGACAGACAGACAGATAGATAGACAGACAGATAGCTGGATGGATGGATAGCAAGCTAGATGATAAATAGATAGATAGATAGATAGATAGATAGATAGATAGACAGACAGACAGACAGACAGACAGACAGACAGACAGACAGACAGACAGACAGACAGACAGACAGATGGATGCAAATGGCGATCACATAACCCTGGGAAGCTGCAATTCTGTCAAATACACACTTATTGCCAAGTGCCCAAATTTTGATCATGTGACCAAGGGAACGCTGCAATGGTCATAAGTGCGAGAACCGGTCATAAGTCACTTTCTTCGGTGCCTTTGTAACATTGAAGGGTCACTAAACAAATGCTGATGAGTCGAGGACTGCCTGTACACGACTGAAAATGCACAATGCCTTGCCTGACCTCAGAGAGAGGTGAGCAGGGAGGGGGAAATATGGGGGGGGGAAGGGAGAACCCCATCCTTTTGCTACCTCTTCAGGTTACACCCTGGTCAGGTAAACAAGTGTGTGCAGAAATATCCAGGCGCCTGCTCAGGTGTGGTCTGTCAGGATGTGTTTGACAAATGTGGCAAAGAAGTCATCAGCTCCACCTCACCTGCCGCCTTTCTCCCCAGGCCTCCAAAACCATTTAGCCAAAACACCCAACCTTCAGCAGCAAATACAGGGAGTCCTCAACTTACGACTGAGGCTTCTGTTGCTAGACAATGCCATCTTCTAGTCCAACCGCCCGCTCAAACTGGAGACCTTATACCATCCAGGTGAAACGGTTGCCCCGTTTCTTCTTAAAAGAAAACTCCAATGATGGAGCACCCACAACTTCTGGAGGCAAGTCGTTCCACTGCTTAATTGTTCTCCCTGTCAGGAAGTTTCTCCTTAATTCCAGGTTGGATCAGTGATGGAGCACCCATAACTTCCGAAACTATGACCAGTTTTCCTGGAGAACATCTACAAATGCGATCACTAAGACTCAACAACAACTTGATGAAACATTATCAAGCCATTACTCTGAAGAAGCCCAAGGCCAGGAATAGGCAACCTTGGCTCTTTTAGGACTCGTGGACTTCAACTCCCAGAATTCCTGAGCCAGCCATGCTGAGGGAAAAAGGAGAGGTTTCCAAGCTGAGCCATGCAGGCTCAGGAATTCTGGGAGTTGAAGTCCACGGGTCATAAAAGAGCCAAGGTTGCCTACCCCTGGCCTAGTCAAAACCCAGTCTGCTATTTCTAGCTACTAAGGTCCAGGAATTCCTCGACTTACAGCAGTTCATTTAATGACTGTTCAAAGTTACAACGGCACTGAAAAAAGCGACTTATGACTGTTTTTCATACCTAACAACCGTTGCAGCATCCCGTGGTCACGTGATCAAAATTCAGAGGCTTGGCAACTGACTCGTATTTATGACGGTTGCAGTGTCCTGAGGTCACGTGATCCTCTTTAGCGGCCTTCTGACAAGCAAAGTCAGATTCACTTAAAACCGTGTTACTAACTTCTGCAGTGATTCATTTAACAACTGTGGCAAAAAAGGTCTTAAAATGGGGCAAAACTGACTTAGGAAATGTCTCGCTTAAAAACAGAAAACATGGGGCTCAATTGTGGTCATTAAGTCAAGGACTAATAACAGCACTGCAACCTAGAGAAGTTCGAAGATCCGTCTGCTCCAGGCCATCACCCAACCTGGCTGGAAAAATCCAGGAACGCTGGGCTGACCATCGTTGGAAATGAAACAAAACAATACCAAAACAAAAAAAAATCCAGCAAGCCTAAACTTACTGTATATCCAACAATGGGTGTGTTACCTTAGTAAATTCATTATGTTGGACACAAAAGGATCAGGATGGTCTTTAAGCTGCCATATTAATCGCATTACCACCACCTGCCCCGCAGCCCAGATCAGTTGACAAAATCCTTTACAACAAGGTGTTAAGAAAGCAGAAACGATTCATCCCTGCGTTTGCAACGCAGCTTTTCGTCTTTTGTGTCTTTGGAGACACATCTTGGGGAAAGGTTTTCCACCACCGCCGTTGAACCCTTGATCTACCAAAACAGGAATGGAAATTAAACCTCTCCCCTGCTCACCTTTGAGGTCACCGTTGAGGTTCACCAAAACTGGGCTGTTCTTCCAGTCAAAGGTGGCGAGCAGGTGAAGGAACCGAAGGAAGCCCACTTGGGGAGAGCTGGTGAGGAGGAAAAACAATTACAAGCAGGTGAGAGGTATTTATCTCAACACCAGGTTAAACAAAGCCACTAGCAACAAAGAAAAAGCATAAAAGCTTTGGGCTGCAGGTAGAAAAGCAAACACACAAATCCCAAGAGAAAACGGATTTACTCAGAAGTTTAAGGGGAGTGGGGGTCCACCGTACTTATTTCCTAGTTATTAAGTATCGTGAAACTGCAGTTGCTCCTTGCAAAAAAAAAATAAATCCAAAAGGGTTTAGCAGCCGCTTGTCACGCCAACAAAGGTTATTAAAAGGCTTAAGCTCGTGAGGTTGTGCCTTTCGATAAAATTTGTTAGCAGAAAAAAGTGTCACCAGTTTCCTAAGGATTTTTAGCCCCTCAAAATACCTCGAATTACAACAGTTTGTTTAGAGACGGTTTGAAGTTGCCACGGCACTGAAAAAAGTGACTTTTAACCGTCTTTCACACTTAGGAACCTTGTGATCAAAATTCAGATGCTTGGCAACTGGCGTGTACTTATGACGGTTGGGGTGTCCCAAGGTCATGTGATCTCCTTGTGCGACTTTCTGACAAGCAAAGTCAATGGGAAAGCCAGATTCACTTAACAGCCATGTTGCTAATTTAGCAACAGCAGTGATTCACTTTGCAACGGTGGCAACAGAGGTCGTAAAACGGGGCAACATTCACTGAACCAATGTCTCGCTTGGCCACAGAAATTTTGGGCTCCATTGCGGTTGTAAGTCGAGGACCACCTATAATTAAATTTGTTAGGAGAAAAGGGGGTTACCTATTTCCTAAGAATTTTCAGCTACTATACGGTAATTAACAGAGTTTTCTTACTACAGTCATTAATTGCATTGGCCGATATGGAAAAGCGCAAAAGAGACTCCCTGCAGAGTACGGTGAGTCCTCGACTTACGACAATTGAGCCCCAAATTTCTGTCGTTAAGTGAGACATTTGCGAAACGGGTTTTGCCCAGTTTTACGACCTTTCTCGCCACAGTACTTAAGTGGGTCACTGCAGTTGATCAGTTAGTGACACGGTTGTTAAGCGAATCTGGCTTCCCCTTTGATTTTGCTTGTGAAAAGCTTGCAAAAGGCGATCACAGGACTTTGGGACACAGCAACAGTCACAAGTACGAGTCAGTTGCCAAGTATCTGAATGTTGATCCCGTGATCCTGGGGCTGCTACAAAGGTTCTAAGTGTGAAAAATGGTCGTAAGTCCCTTTTTCCCCAGTGCCTTTGTAATTTTGACTGGTCGTTAAATGAACTGTCGTAAGTCAGGGACTTCCTGCAATGTCAATTTTGCCCTTTGGTGGAAAGGTTTACCCAACAGCAGTTGCAACGGATTAGTTGTCTTTTTCATGTACTTGTCTGCTTTCGTCACCGTCTAGTCATAAATATTACGACTTCTAGAATTTTGTAACTGCAGAGAGATCAAAACAAACACGGCAGGAGAAAACTGTTGTTGTTTTGCAGACTGCAGTTTGCCTGTTTGTGAGACAGACTTGCTAGATAGGGCTACATCCAAATGGGATCAAAACCCATCAACAAATCTGTTTTAAGTCCTACTGATTTCACTGGGCCTGCTCTGCAGATTGTCCGGGATACAACATGGATGCAAAAGTTGGACTTTGAAGAAGCAATTTGAGACTTTGGGACTGGGCGGTTTTCTTGCAGACGTTTCAGTACCAAACTAGGCAACTTCATCACTGCTAGGAGGGGGTGGGGTTTGCAGAATAGAAAAGGAAAAGGAGGAGGAGAGGAAAAGGAGGAAGAGGAAGCGGAGGAAGAGGACTGGGGAGTCCTCGGAGCTCGCTGAGCTTGGTTGCTTTCCTGCAGACGTTTCATTACCAAACTAGGTAACGTCATCAGTGCTAAGAGGGACTGGGGTTTGCAGAATAGAGGAGGAGGTGATGGTGGAGGAGGAGGTAGGGGACGAAAGGGTGGGGGAAACGGTGGGGTCTTTGGTGCTGTCTGAGCTTGATTGCTTTCTTGCAGACATTTCATTAGCAAACTAGGTAACATCATCAGTGCTAGGAAGGACTAGGGTTTGCAGAGAGGAGGAGGAGGAGTAGGGCGGCGGCGGCCCTGGGTTCCTTGGTGCTCTCTGAGCTTGATTGCTTTCTTGCAGATATTTCATTACCCAACTAGATAACAACATCAGTGCTAGAAGGGACTGGGGTTGTGGAGCAGAGGTGTAGAAGGAGGAGAAGGGGGGGAAGGAGGAGAAGCAAAATGGAGGAAGAGAACTGTGGGATCCTTGGTGCTCTCTGAGCTCATCTGTTTTCTCGCAGACATTTCATTACCCAACTAAGTGACATCATCAATGCCATAGAATGAGACAGTCCATTATCAAACACTGGAACACAGGCCCCGCCGAACTCATTTACTTTTAAGTAGGCCTGTCTGAAATATTGATTAATAGCTATTTAGATCACGCCCAGACTCTGGGCAGTGAAGACTGGCTCATGACTTCATCGGGCTAAGACTGATTAAGGCAATGAATCGCTTGCCGCCAGTCTGTGATCACTTTTCCTTTCCCTTTTTCTCCTACTTTTTTCTTTCGTACATTTGTATTTTACATCCTAAACCTTTTGGGCACCAGGGACCGGTTCTGTGGAGAAAGATTTTCCACGGACCGGAGGGCGCCTGGTTTCATGTGGTGCCTGTTTGCGCGGCCCGGTTGCTGTTATGCCACAGACCGATGCCGGTCCACGGACCTGGGCTTGGGGACCCCTGTCCTAAACCAATAAAAAAAAATAGGTGTGGAAGAAAGGAATTCTGGGAGTTGAAGTCCAGAAGTCATCAAGAGGCCAGGGTTCCCCACCTCTGAAATATAATCAAAGAAACTCATCAGCCTAAGCGGCATATATCACACTAGCGGCTCACCTGGGTGCCGTGAACGGAGCTGGAGAGAGGAAAAGGAAGGCCGCTAATAAATCCACAGCCTCCTCCGCAAGGCTGTCGCTCAGCATCTGGGCGCTGATCCATCGCTTGGCGAGACGGCAGCTGCCGCTAAAAGCTGGATATTGTTGCTGGAGGCTGCGGGGAGGAAAGTAAAGGATCTTAAGAGTAGGATCAAGAGGAGCTGAAAGGCCCACGAGTCCTTGCTGGGAAGGATTTTGCTCTTGCCAGAAATGTGTTTCAAAATGAATTCCAGATAATCCCCGACTTATAACAGTTCATTTAGTGACCGTTCAAAGGCTGGATGAGCCCTTTATGGCTCAAAGGCAGCTTATGTGATTTATTTTATTTACGTAAATTGTTGTTGTTAGTTGCGAAGTCGTGTCCGACCCATCGCGACCCCATGGACAACGTTCCTCCAGGCCTTCCTGTCCTCTACCATCTTCTGGAGTCCATTGAAGCTCAGGCCTACTGCTTCAGGGACTCCCTCCAGCCACCTCATTCTCTGTCGTCCCCTTCTTCTATTGCCCTCAATCTTTCCCAGCCTTAGGCTCTTCTCCAGTGAGTCCTTCCTTCTCATTAGGAGGCCAAAGTACTTGAGTTTCAACTTCAGGATCTGGCCTTCTAAAGAGCAGTCGGGGTTGATCTCCTCTAGGACTGACCGGTTTGACCGACTTACAGTCCAGGGGACTCGCAGGAGTCTTCTCCAGCACCATAGTTCAAAGGCCTCAAGTCTTTGGCGCTCGGCCTTTCTTATTTACGTAAATAAATGTATGTAAATAATTCCACCCTGCTCTGCGGACCAAGTTAGTCAGTCTATTCAGGATTTCCTGTTATTTGGCAGATACTGGTCCATTGCTAGTTTAGCTGTAAATTATGGGCTCTACTGTGGTCGTACGTCGAGGATCATCTGTATATCTAAAATGGCAAAAATGTCCCCTGGGCTCATTGTCTACGGAGGTTCTCAGTCATCCAGGCCCTGCTTATCCCAAAGGGGCTTTTTTTCTCCGGAAAGGGACCTGGACTTTCTTGGGTTTGCTTAAAGAGCTTTCGCTTCTCGTCCAAGAGGCTTCTTCAGTTCTGACTGAATGGAGGAGGATGGAAGGATTTACACAGATAGTCCTCAGCTTACAACAGTTTGTTTAGTGACCGTTCAAAGTTACAACGGCACCGGAAAAAAGGGACTTATGATTGTTTTTCACACTCACATCCTTTGTGGCATTCCCCCGTGGTCACGTGATCAAAATTCAGATACTTGGGGACTGGCTCGTATTTATGACAGTCGCAGTGTCCCGGGGTCATGTGATCTCCTTTTGCGACCTTCGGACAAGGGGGAAGCCAGATTCACTTAACAACCACGTGATTAACTTAAGAATTGCAAGAATTGCATGTGGCAAGAAGAGTAATAACATGGGGGCAAAACCAACAACAGTCTCACTTAGCAGCAGAAATTATATGTTGTGGTTGTAAGTCAAGGACGACCTGTATTCTAACCCTCTGCAACTAGGGAAATGCAGCGGCCCAAAGAGGGAGGGGATGGACCTCAGGAGCTGAACCTTGGCCAGGAAGAGATTGATGGATGAAGCACCATCAAGGATAGGAGAAGGACCTGGCCCTTCTAATTCCTGAACTTGACCATCACACCGAAGGGATGACTCATGGAGAACTCGGAAGTGCTAAGGAACTTGGGACCTACAAAGACTTGTGGAGCTGAAGAAATGGAGGACTTCTCTTGGTGATCACAAAGGACCTTTTCCACCACAACCGCAGGAGAGCGGAGAGACCAAATATTGGATAGAAGGGGTTGAACAGCGGGGTCCTCTCCGAGCTTGGTGGTTTTCTTGCAGACGTTTCATGACCCAGCTAGATAGAATTATCTGGGCTAAAGAGAGTGGGGTTTGGCAGGAGGAAGAGGAGGAGGAGGAGAGGAGGAGGAGGGGGACTATGGGACCTATGGTACTCTCCAAGCTTGGTGGTTTTCTTGCAGACGACCCAGCTAGATAGAATTATCTGGGCCAGAGGTAGGCAACCTTGGCTCTTTCATGACTCGTGGACTTCAACTCCCAGAATTCCTGAGCAAGCCATGCTGGCTCAGGAATTCTGGGAGTTGAAGTCCACAAGTCATAAAAGAGCCAAGGTTGACTACCCCTGATCTGGGCTAAAGGGAGTGGGGTTTGCCAGGAGGAGGAGGAGGAGGAGGAGGAGGAGGAGGAGGAGGACAACGACTGTGGGGCCTATGGTACTCTCCGAGCTTGGTGGTTTTCTTGCAGATGTTTCATGACCCAGCTAGATAGAATTATCTGGGCTAAAGGGAGTGGGGTTTGACAGGAGGAGGAGGAGGAGGAGGAGGACTGTGGATCCTTATTGCTCTCTGTACTTGGTTGTTTCCTAGCAGACATTTCATGACCCAACTAGGGAACATCTTCAGTGTTATAAAGGAGTGAGGTTTGAGGAGGAGGAGAAGGAGTAGGAGTAGGAGTAGGAGTAGTAGTAGTAGTAGTAGGAGGAGGAGGAGGAGGAGGAGGAGGAGGAGGACCACCATGTGGGGCCTTGGATGCTCTCTGAGCTTGGGGGTCCTCTTGCAGACGTTTCATGACCCAACTAGCACAGATGACGTTCCCTAGTTGGGTAATGAAACGTCTACAAGAAAACCACCAAGCTGAAAGAGCACCCAATAGCCCCTTCTTCCCCCATTTCCCCTAAAAAGAACATTTATCCCCCTAAAAAGAGCACCAGAGGATCGGGCCCAACCGGAGCGCACTCTTCTCTCGTACCCGTGGAGCGAGCTAGTCAAGAAGGGCAAATGCAACGTCTCAAGTTCCAGCTGCTGAGACTCTGGACTCTCCTGGTACTTCAGCATCCCCTCCGGAGTGACCACCTCCTTCAGGATCTGGGGCTCTCGATGGTAGACCACTCGCAGGCGGAAGACGTAGCCATTCTACAGGAGGACCAAAAATGGAAATTACAACCAGGTCTAACTTATGTCCTTCCCGGCTTATCCAACCCAACCTGGAATACCCATTTCTAGGTAGTCCTCGACTTACGACGACAACTGAGCCCCCAAATTTCCATTGCTAAGCAAGAGTGTTGTTAAGTGAGTTTGGCCCCATTTTAATGACCATTCTTGCCGTAAGTGCTAAATGAATCATTGCAGTTGTTAAGTGGGTCACACAGTTGTTAAATGAATCCGGCTTCCCCACTGATTTTGCTCGCTGGAAGGTCGCAAAAGGGGACCATGTGACACACACACACACCGGGACACTGCGACCATTGTAAATGTGAGCCAGTCGCCAAGCGGCTGAAGGATGATCACGTGACCATGAGGCTGCAATGGGCATAAATTGCAAAAACTAGTCATAAGTCCTTTCTTTCTGTGCCGCTGGGACTACGAATGGTCACTAAATGGATGGTGGTAAGTTGAGGACTACCTATATTTTCTCCAAGGCTGGAAAAGAGATGGATAGAAGGAAGGAAGGGAGGGAGGGGAGGAAGGAAAAGAGGGAAGAGAAGGGAGGGAGAAAGGAAGGAAGGAAGGGAAAGAGAGGGAAGGGAAAGGAGGAAGGGAGGAAGGAAAAGAGAGGGAACGGAGGGTGGGAGGAAGGAAGGAAGAAAAGAGGGAAGAAGGGAAGAGAAAGGAGGAGGAAGAAAGGAAGGAAGGTAAAGAGAGGGAAGGGAAGGGAGGAAGAAAAAGAGAGGGAAGGGAGGGTGGGAGGGAGGAAGGAACGTAAAGAGAGGGAAGGGAGGAAGGAAAAAGAGGAAAGGGAAGAGAAGGAAGGAAGGAAAGAGGGAAGAAGGGAAGGGAGGGAGAAAAGAAGGAAGGTAAAAAGAGGGAAGGAAGGGAGGGTGGGAGGGAGGAAGGTAAAGAGGGAAGGGAGGAAGGAAAAAGAGGGAAGGGAGGAAGAGAGGGAGGAAGGAAGGAAAGAGGGAAGAGAAGGGAGGGAGAAAGGAAGGAAGGTAAAGAGAGGGAAGGGAAGGGAGGAAGGAAGGAAAAGAGGGAAGGGAGGGTGGGAAGGAGGAAGGAAGGTAGAGAGAGGGAAGGGAGGAAGGAAGAGAGAGGGAAGGGAAGGGAGGAAAGAAGGAAGGAAGGAAGGAAGGAAAGAGAGAAGAAGGGAAGAGGAGGGAGGGAGAAAGAAAGGAAGGAAGGAAGGAAGGAAGGAAGGAAGGAAGGAAGGAAGGAAGGCGCTCCAGGATTATTACCTTATGTATATCAGTGTAGGTGGCGGATGGCCGGCAGAGTAGATGGTGCTGCTCATTCAGGACTTCCGCTAGTTGTATCTGGAAAGCTGCTTTGATGCGCTGAATGGCCTCCTTGTTCCGCGGCCACTGACCGCTTCCCTCCATCTGGCAAATCACTGGAAGGAGGGAAGGAACACCACCAAGAGAGAGAGATCAATCCAAGAGCCACAGGGGGACCATCTACCAGCCCTGCTGAACCATCAAACCCAGGACCCCACATTCTCCTCTGCGTGGTGGACAGCTTGGCCACCGTCTCCCAAAGGCCAGCACCTCTGGGAACAGGAGCGGATGGGAGACCATCTCCGCTACCAGGGTTGAGATAGGGTTCTTGAGACCGGCAGCTTTTAATAGCCTTCTCCGCCGTGAATGTACAGGCAGTTCTCGAGTTATGTCTGTAATGGAGCCTGGCCATCCTAGATGTAAACTCATGACGGACGGTCATAAAACATGTTGCCTATGGAAATTCTCGATCCTCCAGGCCACGGTTGTCACAAAGGTGCTTTTTTTTTTCAAAAGGCAACTGGACTTTCTTGAGGTTTTTTTTTCTTTGAAAACGTTAAGACTTCTCATCCGAGAAAAAGTGAAGTCGCTTCAATGTGTTTGTTTTGTGGGATGGGGTTTTTTTTTGTTTGTTTGTTTCTTTTTGTTAAAAAGTTTTGGAGTTTTTGAATTTTAACTTTTGTTTTTTGAATAAAATAAAAATCGGGGGGAAAAGACGTTTTATGATCTATTGCTTGCTGTTTATATGTACACTGTGAGCTTCTGCACCAGAGACAAATTCCTTGTTTGTTCAGTCACACGGTCAAAAAAATATATATATATCAATTCAATTCAATTCTACTCTAAATTTTCTATATTCTATTCTATTTTTTTCTATTCTATTCCATTCCACTCCATATTCTATTCTATTCTAAATTTTCTATTGTATTATATTGTATTGTATTATATTCTATTCTATTCTACTCTAAATTTTCTATATTCTATTTTTTCTATTCTATTTTATTTCATTCCATTCCATTCCATTCCATATTCTATTCCATATTCTATTCTATTCTACTCAAAATTTTCTATATTCTATTCTATTTTCTTCTATTCTATTCTAAATTTTCTCCTATTGTATTATATTATATCGTATTGTATTATGTTCTATTCTCTTCTACTCTAAATTTTCTATATTCTATTCTTTTTTTTCTATTCTATTCCATTCCACTCCATATTCTATTCTATTCTACTCTAAATTTTCTATATTCTATTCTATTTTTTTCGATTCTATTCTAAATTTTCTCCTATTGTATTATATCGTATTGTATTATGTTCTATTCTCTTCTACTCTAAATTTTCTATATTCTGTTCTTTTTTTTCTATTCTATTCTATTCCACTCCATATTCTATTCCAGCGATGGCGAACCTTTTAGAGACCGAGTGCCCAAACTGCAACCCAAAACCCACTTATGCATCATTGGGTGCCGGGTGGGTGGGGCCCATTGGCTGGGCGTGGCCCATTGGGTGGGCGTGGCTGCGGTGGTAACGGCAGACTGGGTGGGACTAAAAAGTTTAATCAATCAATTCCAACTTTGCAAGATCTTTTTTTTCCTGGGAGAAGTTGAAATTGACTGGTTGATTGAACTTTTTTTTTTTTGACACGGCGGTGGAGACCTAAAGTGAAAAGGTTTTATAAAACCCAGCTGAAGGCCTAGGACTGGGGTGACGGCGCGGGTGCCCACAGAGAGAGCTCTGAGTGCCGCCTCTGGCACCCGTGCCATAGGTTCGCCACCACTGTTCTATTCTATTCTACTCTAAATTTTCTATATTCTATTCTATTTTTTTTTATTCTATTCTAAATTTTCTATTGTATTATATTGTATTGTATTATATTATGTTCTATTCTATTCTACTCTAAATTTTCTATATTCTATTCTATTCTATTTTTTTCTATTCTATTCTACCGTATTTTTCGCTCTATAAGACGCACTTTTTCCCCAAAAAAAGATGGGGGAAAATGTCTGTGCGTCTTATGGAGCGAATGCCGCCTACCGACCGCGCCGCCGCGGCCTCCCGAACGCCCGCCGCGGCC